TTTCTTGACTATATAAGTCCCTTTAACATTTATTGTAAAGCTGGTTTGGTGGTACTGAATTCTCCTAACTTTTGCTTGTCTGAAAAGCTTTTTATTCCTCCATCAATTTTGAATGAGATCCTTGCCAGGTACTGTAATCTTGGCTGTAGATTTTTCCCTTTCAGTACTTTAAATACATCCTGCCATTCCCTCCTGGCCTGCAGAGTTTCTGCTGAAAGATCAGGTGTTAAGAGTATGGGGTTTCCCTTGTACGTTACTTGTTGCTTCTCCCTTGCTGTTTTTAATGTTCTTTCTTTGCATTTAGTCTTTGTTAGTTTGATTAGTATGTCTCTTGGCGTGTTTCTCCTTGTGTTTATCCTGTATGGGACTCTTTGTGCCTCTTGGACTTGATTTGACTATTTCCTTTTCCATGTTAGGGAAATTTTCAACTATAATCTCCAAAAATTTCCTCATACCATTTCTTTTTCTCTTCTTCTTCTGGGACCCCTATAATTCAAATATTGATGCATCTGATATGGTCCCAGAAGTCTCTGAAACTGTCCTCAGTTCTTTTCATTCTTTTTACTTTATTCTGCTATTCAGAAGTTATTTCCACCATTTTATTTTCCAGCTCACTGATTCATTCTTGTGCTTCAGACATTCTGCTACTGATTCCTTACAAAGTATTTTTAATTTCAGTAATTGTGTTGTTTGTCTCTGTATGTTTATTTTTTAATTATTCCAAGTCTTTGTTAATTGATTCTTGCATTTTCTCCATTTTGTTTTCAAGGTTTTTTTTTTATCATTTTTTACTATCATTATTCTGAATTCTCTTTCAGGTAGTTTGCCTACTTCCTCTTTGTTTATTTGGACTTCTGTGTTTCTAGTCTGTTCCTTAATTTGTGTAGTATTTCTCTGCCTTTTCATTATTTTAACTTGTTGTGTTTGAGGTCTCCTTTTCCCAGGCTTCAAGGTTGAATTCTGTCTTCCTTTTCGTTTCTGCCCTGCTAAGGTTGGTCCAGGGGTTTGTGTGAGCCACTTAGGGTGAGATGGGTGCTGATATTTTGCTTGTTTTTCGTCTGATGGGCAAGGCTGAGTGAGGGGGTAATCCTGTCTGCTGATGGCTGGGTTTGTGCTTTTGTTTGTTGTTTAGACGAGGCGTCCTGCACAGGGTGCTACTGGTGGTTGGGTGATGCCAGGTCTTTCATTCAAGTGGTTTTCTTTGTGTGAGTTCTCAGGATTTGATACTCCGCAGAGTCCATGGGATCGCAAAGAGTCGGACACGACTGAGCGACTTCACTTTCACTTTTCACTTTCATGCACCAGAAAAGGAAATGGCAACCCACACCAGTGTCCTTGCCTGGAGAATCCCAGGGATGGCAGAGCCCAGTAGGCTGCCGTCTGTGGGGTCGCACAGAGTCGGACACGACTGAAGCGACTTAGCAGCAGCAGCAGAGGATGAGATGGCTGGATGGCATCATCGACTCAACAGACATGAGGTTGAGTAAACTCCAGGAGTTGGTGATGGACAGGGAGGCCTGGCGTGCTGCGATTCATGGGGTGGCAAAGATCGGACATGACTGAGCGACTGAACTGAACTGACTGAGGGCTACTTCTGTGGTAGTCTAGGGTCTTGGAGTCAGGGCTCCCACTCCAAAGGCTCAGGGCTTGATCTCGAGTTTTGCGTGGTTCTGTATGTTCTTCTCCTCTGGTCAGGTACTCCTGTCTGCTCTCAGCTGGTGTTCTGCATGCACTTCTGTGTTTGAAGCTGTAGTCCTGATGGATCCATGGGAGAGATGTGCACTACATCCAACTACACCTTCATCATCTTATTCTAACACTGTGCTATTTATGAATACAAATATTCTTATTCATAGGTGTATCCTAAGTATATCAGTGGCAGAGCTAAATATTACATTAGCAAATCATAATTAAATGTTCTTTCCTAATCTAATGCTCTCACTTGAAAGTAGAAAATTGGCATGGTCAGAAACATGTGAGCCAGAATCAGTCATTAGGCACATTCATTAATGATTTAGAATGTGATGTTCTGACTTTTACCTTATCCATTGACCACTTGTCATGGGCATGTTCTGCATATTTGTTAATGAAGTATTCCAACTTCTCAGGAATTGTAATACTATGAGAAAAACAAAGAAAAGAGGTTTGATTTTCATAGGATTTTCAGGGAATCATTCATAATTTATTCCACAGCTTATGACTGTTTATATTTCATTCAATGCAAAACTGTTAAAAAACTGGTTTAACAAGGTATTACTTTTCCATATGGTAGAAACAGTATGAGAAAAGTCAAGCAAATAAGATTCTATCTGCTCATCTTATATTTATTCATACTTTATATCTTAATATAAATTATACACAATAAAAATTTTACATAGTATGAGAAAAATAATTTAAATGTATGCAAGAAAAGGACAATAGATTGCACCAATTATTTTTAAAAATCTGAATAAAGATATAGTTAGATAATGAGCTTACAGACATACTTTACTCTCACATTGGTTCTTTGAAGTTATTCTTTTTTGATTTTAATCTCTTCTGCAACAACCATAAATGGGTAAAAGGCTGCTGAAATGCACTGCTACATTTTTGAAATGTACTAAAATTAATTTTAAGCTAATTGAATACAACCAGTGATGTGTGAATGATTTTAAATAATAATGGTCTATATATAAATTCTAAATGTTACTAATATGAACTATAGGGAAAAGCATTTAATCAATCCATGCTTTACGATTTTGATAACATTTCTACTTGAGTTCTTTCATGTTTAAATAAATATTTAATCTCTCAAACAGACATCAAGTCCATGCAATTGGTGACCAAGTCTGATGGTAAATGTAAGACTTGGTACTATCACATATATCTATTAACAAAAAACTAAGTATGTATATAATTCCATTCACTGATGAAAATAACTTATTAATGCATTTAACTTTGAGAATAGAATTGTAAGTAAAACCTGATATAATGAGGTTTACTGTTCTTTTCTCGCATGTTATTAGTTAGTAATTGAACTTTATGACACACACGTATTTTAAAAACAATACGTAAAAATCACAGAGATGTAGACACTATTGATATCACTATGCAAACCTAATCTGTTAAGAGGTCCCCAACGGGGTAAACTGAGGTAAATTAATATACATGCCCAGCATTTACTCATTAATTGGATTCAATTAATCAACATCAAAGCCATGACATAGTTCTGATGTTATTTGAAAATTCTGGATTACATTGTATGTTAGCAAACCACAAACTTACCAATGAAGGAATGTGAACATGTGACATTTTGGTTTACTTACTTTAGAAGAGATACAAAGGATCAATCAATCACATAAGCCAAATACTGGGGGGTAGAGTCTTTTCTCACAGGACTGTCATCAAATACCAAACATGCAAATTTAAGGCATTATCAAACTAACAGCATACCACTTGGGTCAAAATTTTGATCTGGTTATGGAAGCTAAACCAGCTGGGGGGGACACAAGAGGCCTGAAAGTTGAACACCCAAGCGAATTCAGATGCTGTGGATGATAACTACCAAGAGACTACCTTGCTAATACTGATCCTGCTGAGTGACTGTGGAATGGATAAGACAATGTGGCATGAAGAGCAGCCTCTCTGCAAGTGGAAAACCATGATTCTACTTAAAGACAGTAACAAGAACAAAAGTGCTGAGACCCCAAACACCTAACATACCCAAAGATCTGCAGAACAACTTAGGCAACCAGGTCCATGGAAGAACTTTCATAATGTTAGGTAACACTATATCTGTAGTTGAGATTGTCACACTGTACCCTCACTGCACGCTAAATTTTCCAGAGATAGTCTCATTTGACATTCCCTTCACTCTCATGCTGTGCTTTATAAGGCTGAACACTGACTACTAACCCCAGGCCTGGCTGAGATGTAGTGATGATGAAGTGATGCCCCACTGCTCGTAGAAATAGCCTTGCACTGCATGCTGGAAGCATCCCAGTCATAGACTCTACACAGAGGTTGACTGCAATTACTAATTTAACATTTAGGGGAGAACTTCAACTAAAAAGATAACTGATATCCTTTCTTGATTCTCATGATTATAGATATAACCATGTGGTTACATACAGAGAATCCTGGTGATATTAAGAGTATATCTCTTAGGAGGTACATCTTCTCTATTTCTGGTATTCATGTAACCATTATTATTACTACTATCATTTCATCAAGTAAAGGGACCCCTATTAAAAGGATACCAATTCAAAGGGGGCATGGATGAGAGAAAGTTCACTTTAGTACCTTATTCAATTTCAGACTTCACACATCATTTACAATAAAAATCTGCTGCAATAGAAAGAGTCCATACTTTGAGGTATCAACAGGTTGTGGATTAAAGTTCCCTTCAGAATCCATTGATGACTGTTTTTCCATCATACTGACATAATTTGACTCCATGTAGTCTGGAGGCAAAGCTCCCGCAACTGCACTCAGGCAAGGCAGTGCCAGTTTGAAAAGTTCTTGTTCATATTTCTGGGAATAAATGGAGGACCAAAAAAAATAAATATCCCATTACAACTTAGCAACAGTTGTCAACATGAGCACTGCAACTGACAGGATGTTGTAGGAGAAAAACAGAAATACCTTCAGCTAACTCAGTTCCCCCAAAGATTCTTTTTCTAGAAAACGGAAAATATGGCCTTAAATCCCACCAAACATAAGAGAAACTGAAGCTTTTTACTAAAGTCGTAGCATAAAAAGAATAAAATCTTTGCTTCTCTAAAAGTCTATTTTCCAATATGTGAAGTGAGGTGAACTTGAATATTCAAAGTGCACGACATGATTTTACAACATAAACATGATTTCAGTCGAGGACTATGTTATAGATTATTACAGCTAGTTACAGATTATTGCTGTGCCATGCTATAAAGACTATATATGAAAAATACCTAAAGAATAACACCCAGAGTAAGAAATTTTAATTTTATACATTGCATTTCAAGATATAAAAAAAATTCTGAACAGAGAAAGAACTTTTACAGGAAAAATGCATAACCAAAACTTCCAGGGAAAAGTATATTAGTTACATAGTTAAACCATATTTACAGATTTTTTTAAAAATCAAAAATAATAATTAAAGTTATCTCACTTTAAGTGCTAACTTTTACAGTTGCGAATTCTTCTAAAAACACGTTCTACATATTGTTTTAAAAGGACTCAGTTTCCCAAACACAAGTCAACAAGAAAAAGCATTCAGATGTAGCTACCACATGTTATCACAGATAAACTTCCTTTATTATGTAGCAAACTTCTGTTATACTATTCCAGTCATCTGATAATGTCTGTCTGGGAATTCAAACTGATTTTGATTAATGATTTAAGCATAAGCATAGCAAGCATGTTCTGATTTTCACTGAAATACTATGCTTCAGTTTCCTGAAAAGTGTACAAAACCATTCACTGCAAATTTGGCAACTATTAGAGGATGTCACGCACATAAAGCAAGAGTGAATGCAGACACTTAAATCACCATAGCAGCAGAGTGTGAAAAATCAATAAGGCTTCTGGAATATTATAATTTTAAGAGCTCTAATATTTAACATTTTTACATTTGACAAGATTTCTTCAGGCTTTATAAGATTGGGGAGGTGACTAATGAGGGAGGGTTTGAGTCCAAATAAGTCCAAATATACCAGAATATACCAGATATTCAAATATATACCAAATATATATACCAGATATATACACCAGATATATATATATATATGTACCATATATATATATATATATAAAAGAATATGCCAGATATTCAAATATATATACCAGATATATATATATATATATACACACCAGATATATATCAAATATTCAAATATATACCAAATACCAAATATATCAGATCAATCCATGTGAATAATCTGCTAAAATGCTTAGCCATTTTCAAGTCAAAAAGTGTTGTAATTACAAGAAACAGGTTACCATCATGATTATGAAAAGTCAATATAAATTGCATTCTCAACATTTGTTATAAAGAGAAAAAAACAAAATTATGTCACGTCTTGATAAGTAAAGGTAGCATTTCACTATTCTACTAGGAACACTTTAAAAAAATAAAAAAATAAATAATAAAGTAAAAAAAGAAAAGAAAAGCAGTTTAAATTTCATATAGCCTATTAAAAAAAAAAAGAACCTATGATTTTTCAATTATTTTATCATACAAATAAATCCACAAAAGATTAAATTACCTTTTGAGATAGGGCATCAAAGATGCCCCAGAACAGCTTTCTTGATAAATGAAGTTCTTCTTCTGAGGCAGCTCCAAAGTTTCCCCACCCTCCAGGCAGGCAGTAATATTTCCAGCATCTTTCATAATGATTTGTCAGCAGCTAGGTAGGAAAACAATTATAAGAGCGCTGAACTAAAGATACCTCAATGTTATTTTTTTTCCATTTCCTCCCAATGGCATTCTAATGCCATGTAACAAGGCCAAATGAAAGGAAACTACTCAACTCCATATGAATTCTTTTGGAAAATACTATTACCTTATATAGGATATCTCTTTAAGATTTAACACTGATTACAATTTAAAGACCAAACACCCAATTTCACAAATTATCTCGAAAAGAATTCTTTAGGAGGTTGACTGGCTATCTGTGTACTGAGACCTACGTTAGTTGCTATCATTTACTTATAATGTTATGACTTGTTATCTCCTGGAATCCATGAATTTAACAGAGTGATTGGCGTTAGGGTGAACCAGAGGATACAGCACCTAACATGTGCATTCTCAGGGGACAGTGCCTCTGGATATGTTTGCTTCCTCTCTGCCCATCCTTAATCACTATACTTCATGATTCCATTATTTAGTAACTCTTTGGATAAAGTATTCGTGATTAATACACTAAGAAATAGTCACAACTAATTGCCAAATTAATAAAATGATCTTTATAAAGCAACTATACGTTTTGGACTCTTACCTATATCTAACAAGGAAAATAAACTGATAAAGAGTTACTCTTATTAAAACTAACTACATATCTTACTGTAGACATATTTTTTTCTCACTTAGTATCCTTCTCAGTTATAAAACACACAAACACACAATTTAGGAGTCTCAAATGATGAAATACTGAGATCTAATTTGCTTGGACTAACATAGAACTATCTATAATGCAAAAGTTTTATCACACAAAGTGATCCTGTATCTTTTTTCAGGTATCTTCTAGCTCATTTGTATCAAGAAAATTCTACGTGACAAGCACCACCCCAGGTAAAAATGGGATTTTCAGCCAAGGACAGAATTTATGGAATTCATTAATTTCCCTAGGTTTATTAAACCAAAATTAATTTTCATAGAGAAAGATTGTTTTAGTTATTAAATACAAATTAGTGTAATGGCAGCTCAAAAAACAGCAGTTCATTTTTATCTCAAACCTCTTTGTATAGCACTATTACTGTGTGGCCATGAGAAAAAAATATAATGCTTACCAGGTGGCAGAGCAGAGTGGTCACCTATAAAAAGTCCATTACAGAACAATGACCTCCATGCACAGACCATGCCACTAGATCATTTATTAGTATACACCTAACATCTTAATCCTCAGTGTGGACTGGGATATTCAACAACAAGAAAATATTCGAAGTCAATAAGACAGAATGAGACTTGATCATTTCCTGTGCAGAATAAAGCTGGGAAGCAAATATGTCAGGCAATTTTCTATACTCTATGGTAAACCGTAACTGCATATACATAAGGATTATTTTGAACCTTATGAGATGATATTTGGAAACTGTCATTTGATTAACAGACTTAGCAAATGTTGTTTTAAAAGTCTATTCTTAATGCCTTGAGGTTGTTAATACTTTAGGCCAGGCCTATTAGCATGTTTTCCATAGTATATAAGAATATATTGGCTTAAGAATATATTGACTCATCTTTTTCTTGTGGCCTGTTTTCTTTCCACTGATTTCTATTTCCACTGACATACAGTAAACCAATCTTAGGATTTCTCTGGCCTTTTATTACTTGTTTCTTTAGGTTGATGTACACACAAATACAACTTACATGTCCATTTCAATAACTGGAAGAAAATTTCCAGCATTCCATATTAAACATGCTGAATTTAAGAAATGTACATATTGTAATAGGAACCAAAGTCAGAGTACCCAGCACTCAAACAGCTACAAACACTCCCTGTGCTTACCTTAAGAGGCATCTTCGCGTGTTCATTTAACAATGGGACATCGAATACTAATCGTCTGAGTAAGTGCTGCATCATAGAAGGTCTCAACTGGCTGGTGGAACAAAGCTAATTTTAATAATGAATATCTAATAATGTTTAAACCAAGTAGATAATTCATTAAACCAGATTATACACCCCAAGAACCTATACCTACACTTCTCTTCAGATGATGTTAATTTTAGGTGTTCCTAATTCAAAGATTAACTGAGAGTTACGTAATTTCATAAAAGGTTATATTTCAAAGTCATCTCTAGCTCCCTGATCTGAAGATCAACCTTCATTTGCTATAGGAGATGTTCCTCTTCAGCCCCTTCTCTTCTCACCCATCAAAGCCCCAGAGCCCACTGTTCCTATTAATGTAGTAAATGCTATTCTCTCTTTGCAATGGGTGGGAAGGGGCTCAGTGACTAGATCAGAAGCAGAAAGAGGAGGGAGAGTAAGAGCAAGAGGAAGAGAAAGACTAAGAAATTTTGCCAGAGGAGGAAGGGAAAGAAAACCAACACCCTATGACCATTTATTACTCTGGTAATCCCGAGTGCTTCACCTCATTTAATATTTTGAAAAACTCAGTGAGACAGGTTTTGATTCCATTTCACAGAACTGTAGGGTCGGGAAACTAAGGGTCGGGAAACGAAGACTATGAACTAATCTCTAACCTCTCTCAGTCCCATCCGGTTCCTACACCCATACACTCGTTCCACTGTGAGTGAAAACCCTTCCTTCACCAATGTTCTGGACAGACTGCAAGCTTCCCCTCCAAGAGCGCCTGTCCATTAGGAAGAAACCATTAACCAAGATAGGGGTCTGAGAAATTGTCACTTGCACTTGTCGGAACTTCAGAAGAAGATACATGTTTCTGGTTTTCCTAGTAAGACCCTTGATTCCCATCATTGTCAAACATAGGCCATACTTTACTGTTATTACTATATTACTAGATACATTTCTTTTTTACCTTTAATAAGTCTCTTTTTTTCTTTCCTCTTCTAGAAGAGGAGTTACAACCATTACGCACAGTTGAAAGGTGAATCCTACACTAACACAGCCGGGGATTCCCCACACAACAACTTCACCTGCCAACATCCAGAACAGCATCATCAGTCCAACACCATATTCAGTGGTCAGATACCCATAGAGTGCTGGAGGAACACTTCTGAACTTGATCAGGAGCAACAGTGCTCTGGTAAGGCTCAACTCAGTACACAACAATGACTAACATGAACTAATTTTTTGGTCCAGAAATTGTTGTTAACATTCATAACAAATTGTCAAGGACCACGGAGTAAATTCTCTCATTTAAAGAAACATGAAATAGATTTCACTGTCCACTTACCCACAAATAGAGAGTAAACACACTTCTATGGAATCCCGTTGAGCTTTGGTGAGTGAGCAGCCCTTAGAAAGCCGGTACACAGTGTGAAGCAATGAGTCAATGAGAGAAGCATGGTGCTCGGTGCCCGCAAAAAGAGGAGCACACCTTGTTAACAAGGGTAACACGGCTGTGCACAGGTACCGATTGAGGGCCAGGGCCATGTCGGTAGCACTCAAAGCAGCCTGGAAGGGAAGTGCAGAGACCATCATTTGCACTGGTCAGGAGGCAACTTTCCAAGGGATCATACATGTTGACATGTTATTTCACTACCCAGAAATTGACAAAAGTATGTAATACGGAAATGGATTCCTCTGTTACAGCTTTAACTGTGGTTCATATGCTTTTTTTTTAACCACTAAAAACAACAGATTTTTAATTGCTCATCAATAGATAAAAATGAATGAAATAATAGTTATCTCTTCAAAAAGTCACAGAAGTTCATGTTCTATAATAAAATGTGAAGGGTAGGATGGATGAAAATGAAGATGCTAATGATATCAAAGAATGGGAGACTCTCCCTTTACTAGCAGAGGCAAAAGAAAGGAGTTTATTTTCACAGTAAATTTCAAACACTTTATACTCATGTCATATATATACTCATCGTATTTATGCTCATGTCAATCAGAATCAACAGTCAAAGGCTGACTGTCTTAACATGCTATCGTCTATAATACATAGGTTCAGAAATCCACATGAACACAACCAAAAAAAGAAAAAAGAATTCAGTTTTATTTTTATGATTCTCCTCTCACAGTTTTCATGAGGGAGCTACTACCAACTTAAGATCTGATTTCCTCTGATATCAACAAGACATATAATTGAAAATAAAACACGGTATTAAAAAAAAAAAAACACAAGATATTATTACAACTACTAGAATAACATTTAGCATTCCAGCTTATTTTAAAAATGTTTCTGTTTCTTTTTTCTTTTTTTTTTTAATTAAAAGTAAAGGTCTTTTTTCTCTCCTCAATCCTACTTTGCAGAGATAATATGCTGGTATATCTTTTCAAATACTGTATTTATATGAGTAGATTTATACTTACATGAGTGATAACATATTTAAAAATGTTTCAAATAGTAGAACATTTACACTGATGGTGGAAGTTTCTTGACATGGGCTACTGATCTCACAAAACAGATTTTAATTTATATGTACATTAAAAAATGAATACAACAGGATGATACTGTAGTTGAAAGACTCAACAATGTTCACTAGACCTTTTTAATACTTTAATTGCTTTTACTGAGACACACAATTATTTATGTCAACTTAGAAGTTGAACAGGAACCACTGTGACCTCCCTAATTAGGGTTATATAAACTTCTTACTGTCTTCCATTGCACTGATCAGAATTCTTACTGTACTCTTTGGGTTGTCCATTTTCTCCACTATTCAGTAAATTCCTTGAGGATATAGTCTATCTTATTTTCTGTTTACTCTCTGCTACCCTAAAAAATTGGCATTTGATAAACATGTGGGGACAATGAATGAATGAATGAATATATCTGTGAAAGAATTTCAGGTGGCAGAGACTGAAGAGTTAAAAATTGCAGAATTCATTTGTTCAAATCATTACCGTGTCTTACCGTGTCTAAGGAAGCAGCAGCCCGGAGATCTGGCAGAAAGCCAACCTCAAGAAGATGGAGGAGGAAATCTTGAACCTCAATTCCATAGACCCTGTCAAGGAACAAAACCATGGCTGCCTTGTGATCTGGACAAAACCCTGCAGACATGTCAGGCTCCACCACATTCCCATCTAAAAGAGAGAAGGTGATACACTGTTGTTAATGGCCAATGAAGATTGAGTACAAATGGCTACTTTCCAGCCGCTCACGTTTTAAGTAAAGTTATCAGTTGAATGCTTTTCTGTTCTTCTAATACATTCAAGTAAGGGCTGGGAATCAGCTGATGAAATATGGCAGTGCACTGTAAATCCAAGGTCATTTAAATGCTATTTTAGCATCCATTTGTTAATTGTGTATGTTAAATTAGGGCAGAGTATTATGCAAGATTCTGAGAAGGAAACAAAATGACATCCATAATCCAATTGTAAAACCAGGGGTAAATATCCTAAAAGCTAATATGTAAAGCAAGGTTTGCAGTCTTTTCAAAACAAGAGCGGGTCTTTAAAACATTAGTAAGACTCATGTACTCTATGTGATAATCATGGTATGTTTACATCATTTACATATATATGGCTTAAAGAATTATAAAATAATGAACAAAACTCTATGAACCAGTTTGACTTTCAAACGAAATATGTTTCATTAATCATAATAGCATTTAATAACATGTAAAACATATTTGAGAGCCATATTATTTTCTCTATCGACAGTCAACACTTGATGCCTATATAGTGGAGTGGATTCCTTAGTATAACTCCATAGATTCATAGATGGGATCACTGAAATGAAAAATTAGGGAATTACACGCCAATTTGAAATACTGGAGAAAAAAACTTGTTTTCTGTTTGACCATGGGATAAGTATGCCGAATTGTCGCTGAAATACACTGTAAGAGTCCACAAATTATATCACAGAATTTTTAACACATGCAAATGTTGAAAAAAACCAGGCCCCTGAGAAAGATGATACATGACCATACCCAACCTGAAGTAACAAAGTCACAACATTTTTGTTTTCATTCATACTCAATGACTGAATCTGAACATAAAAATGAACAAAAGGTGTTTTAAAGGAAGACTGGATTGAAGACTAATGCCAAATTATTTCCATTCCTTATAACAAATAATATAACTAGTATCTTCCTTCCTATAATTATTAATACAATAATAACTCTTGACATTTGTGCTGTCAGGTACTGTTAGGAGTGTTCCAGATACAATCTCATAAAATGTTCACAAGAGCAGTATGAAGGGGGCATTATTATCTTCCTTCAACACAAGATAAAAATCAGCTTAACCCTATATGCAAAACAGAAAAAGAGACACAGATGTATAGAACAGACTTTTGGACTCTGTGGGAGAAGGCGAGGGTGGGATGTTTCGAGAGAACAGCATCGAAACATGTATATTATCTAGGGTGAAACAGATCACCAGCCCAGGTTGGATGCATGAGACAAGTGCTCGGGCCTGGTGCACTGGGAAGACCCAGAGGGATCGGGTGGAGAGGGAGGTGGGAGGGGGGATCGGGATGGGGAATACATGTAAATCCATGTCTAATTCATGTCAATGTATGACAAAAACCACTACAATATTGTAAAGTAATTAGCCTCCAGCTAATAAAAATAAATGGGGAAAAAAAATCAGCTTTCAGAAAAGTTAGCTAACTTGTCCAAGGTTGTGTATCTAGTCATCGGCAAACTTAGGTTGAAACTAAGTAAAACTGCACTTAAAATCCGATCCAGGTAATTTAATCCCTACATTAAATCAGCAAGCTCTAATGACACGGAACTGGAGTAAGAAATGACAGCTGCACTGACTTTACTCTGTTCCCTTCATCATTCATCGCCTGAAATTACTGGCTCAGACAGCCTGTGGAAATCCGCTCCATCCAAGAGCTGCAGAAAAGAACATCTATTTTTGAGATTAGATACCTGACCCTTATGTTTTCTAAACTCGTCCTTCTTTCATTATCATTTTGGGCTAGGGTAAGTATAATAAAAATTTCTAAGACTGGTGAAAACTGGTCCATCAAAAAATCTACAAACAATAAATGCTGGAGAGGGTGTGGAGAAAAGGAAACCCTCCTACATTATTGGTAGGAATGTATAGTGGTCTACCCACTACGGAGAACAGTGTAAAGGTTTCTTAAATAACTAAAAATAGAACTACCATATGATCCAGAAATCCCACTCCTGGGCATATAACTGGACAAAACCATAATTCAAAAATTTAACACATCTCAGTGTTTGGAGCAGCATTATTTATAATAGTCATGGCATGGAAGCAACCTGTGTCCACTGACAGATGAAAGGATAAAGAAGATGTAGTACATATAAACAATGGAATATTAGCCATAAAAAGAATGAGATAATGCACTGGAGCAACATGTGGACCTGGAGATTACCATACTAAGTAAAGTAAGTCAAAGACAAATGTCACTTACATGCGGAATCTAAAAAATGATACAAACTAACTTATTTACAAAACAGAAACCAACTTACAGGACTGAGTAAACAAACTTAGCATTACCAAAGGGGAAAGGTGGGGGAAGGGAGAGATAAATCATGAGGTTGGGATCAATATATACTCATTAGTATATATTGGCTTCCCTGATGGTTCAGGGATAAAGAATCTGCCTGCTATGCAGGAGATGCGAGTTAGATCATTGGGTCGGGAAGATCCCTTGGAGAAGGAAACGGTAACCAGTTCCAGTATTCTTGCCTGGAGAATCTCTTGGATAGAGGCGCCTGGCAGACTACAGTCCATAGGGGTCACAAAGAATCAGGCATGACTTAGTCACTAAACAAAAACAACTCCTATATATAAAACAGATAATCAATAAGAACCTACTATAAAGCACAGGGAACTCTACTCAACGCTCTGTAATAACCTAAATGGAGAAAGAACCCTAAAAGAATATATAAATATATGTGTGTGTATAACTGAATCAATTTTCTGTACCCTTGAAACTAACAACATAGTAAAGCAACTATACTCTATATAAAATAAAAATTAAAAAAACCTCAGACTCAGGGAAACAATGTATGAAAAAGGCTTTAGCTTTATATACTAAATACAAAACAGAAATTATCACTGATAACTGGTGATGCTTAAAGAACCAACTGATTTCCCATTGAAACATAAGAATATTGATGGTTTGAGTTTTAAGGTTGATTTAAGGTGTAACACAGCAAAACAAAGACATAAAAGTTTCTCTCTCTGTTCTCCACTTGTTGTTATTTGGTCGCTAAGTCATGCCAAACTCTTTAAGACCCCATAGACTGTAGCCCTCCAAGCTCCTCTGTCCATGGGATTTCCCAGGCAAGAATACCAGAGTGGGTTGCCATCTCCTTCTCCAAAGGATCTTCCTGGACCAGGAATTGAATCTATGTCTCCTGCACTGGCAGGCTGATTCTTTACCACTGAGCAACCATGGAAGCGCAACATTCTCAACAGAGGTTAAATAAAAAATGCAATAATTTAACAATGAGCAGTAGATGGCATTTTAAAAATTAACTTTCACTGCGATTATGATAGCCCACACATAAAATTCTTTAATTCCAACTTAGGCAATATACTTCATTGTCGTTATTCAGTCGCTCAGTCGTGTCTGACTCTGTTACTCCATGGACTCCAGCATCCCAGGCTTCGCTGTCCTTCACTATCTCCGGGAGTTGGCTCAAACTCACATCCATCAAATCAATTATACAAACCCACCATCTCATCCTCTGTCATCCCCTTCTCCTCCTGCCTTCAGTCTTTCCCAGCATCAGAGTCCTTTCCAATGAATCGGCTCTTTGCATCAGGTGGCCAAAGTATTGGAGCTTCAGCATCAGTACTTCCAATGAATATTCAGGATTGATTTCCTTTAGGACTGACTGGTATGATATTCTTGTGGCCCAAGGGACTCTCAAGAGTCTTCTCCAACACCACAGTTCAAAAGCATCACTTCTTTGGTGCTCAGCCTTCTTTAATGGTCCAACTTCCACATCCATACATGACTACTGGAAAAACCACAGCTTTNGCAATCTTGATTCTAGCTTGTGCTTCATCCAGCCCAGCATTTCTCATGATGTACTCTGCATATAAGTTAAATAAGCAGGGTGACAATATACAGCTTTAATGTACTCCTTTACCAATTTGGAACCAGTCTGTTGTTCCATGTCTGGTTCTAACTGTTGCTTCTTGACCTGCATATAGGATTCACAAGAGGCAGGTAAGGTTGTCTGGTATTTCCATCTCTTTAAATGTTTTCCACAATTTGTTGTGATCCACACAGTCAAAGGCTTTAGCGTAGTCAATGAAGCAGAAGTAGATGCTTTTCTGGAATGACCTTGCTTTTTTTATGATCCAACATATGTTGGCAATTTGATCTCTGGTTCCTCTACCTTTTCTAAATCCTGTTTGTACATATGAAAGTCCTCAATTCATATACTGTTGAAGCCTCGCTTGAAGGATTTTGACCATAATATTGCTAGCATGTGAAATGAGTGCAACTGTGTGGTAGCTTGAACATTTTTATAGCTCATATTTATGACCAAAAAACATCATACCTTTATTATAACACAACTAGGTGGAACAGAAAGAAACTAATTAGAAAAATCTAAAAAGTAAAGAAAGAAGAAACTGGCACATTGCAGTTCATGGGGTCTCAGAGTTGGACACAAGTTAGTGACCGAATAACAACAATAACAAAAGATAGATAGCTGGATGAAAATGAGGTCTATTGCAACTTTTGGAGCAATTCTGAAAGAGATGTCTGAACACTCATACAATCCTTGTTCTTAGTTCCACATTATTACTAATTTTAAATGTAAAATCTACCATTTATTTATTTCCTAGTCTGTGTGTCACTCTTATCCTAAGAGTATCAATTTTTTGGCTCAAAATGTAGGGGAAAGACAAAATATTTTAAATAGGTAAATGAACATAAGTTAGAAGTGAAGTAAAAGAGGTAAATGGGGACAGTCTCTTTACACACAAGAAAAAGAAACTGCCTAAAGTGGGGAATGAGCAATGCAGTGTAGGGCCACTCAAAACAGACAGGTCATGGTGGAGAGTTCTGACAAAATGTGGTCCACTGGAGAAGCGAATGGCAAACCACTTCAGTATTCTTTTCTTGAGAATCCCATGAACAGCATGAAAAGGCGAAAA